GCTATTCAAGAGACTTATCCTGACAGTTATCTCATTTTGCTCTCTCCCCAAGGGCAAACTTTCACCCAAAACGAGGTGCCGAGAATACTCAACCAAACTCCTAATCTGGTCTTTGTTTGCGGACATTATGAAGGATTTGATGAACGGATTTGATATTATATTGACGAGCAAATTTCAATCGGTGATTTTATTACTATGGGGGGAGAAATACCTGCTTTGGCAATTACCGATGCCCTAATTCGGGCTATTCCAGGGGCCATTCAACCTGAATCTTATCAGCAAGAGACCTTTCAAAACTCGCAACTAGATTTTGCTACTTATACCCGCCCGGAAGAATTTGCTGGTCTAAAAGTACCAGCGGTTTTGCTATCCGGCAATCATAAAGAAATTAACCAATGAAGAGTTCAAAATAGACGAGACAAAACCAAACAAAAAGAAAAATGATATAAAAATAATAATAAAATTATTCCGAAGCGAGAAGCAGAGAATAAGTAAAAAGTTCAAAATTGCGTTTTTAGAGATTAATTTTGTATAAAATTATAATGATGACTAAAATTAGGGAAAATACAATAATAAAGTGTTACCTATTCTCGCTAGTTAATGGCTGGACTAAAAAGGATTAAGATAACAAGTGAGTTTAAAAATTTAGCAAATGCAACATAAAAAAAATATCAAATAAATTTATACAAACATGCCAAAATTAAATCCATATTTAACAGAAAACAAGAAACCAATTGAATTAGTTCAAGAATTAAAAAATGAATACAAAGTTCCTAGTTTTGAGGAGTTTGCTAAAGATTATGAAAGTGATGAAGTGATAAATGGGAGTTATGAAAATGAAATTAGAGGTTATGGTGACATTAGTGTAGTAAAAAGTTATGGTCCAGGAAACAGTCAATCAGCAGAAGACACAGCAAAATACGTAGGCAAAAAAGCCGTAAGTAAAACTGCCGGTGCCCTTCTTGGTCCTGCCGCTTTGCCAATAGGAATGAAACTTAAACAGATCGCCCTAACATGAGACGTGTCTAAAGAACTTGCTTTAGAACTTGGTAATATTATTAATAAGATTAATAGTAGCGGAGGAATTAACACAGAAGACTTAGACCTTATGGAAAAGGTTATGAGGAATGTGGAAAACAAAGAAAAAAGTGGGTTTGCTAAGTGAATAGATGAATTAGGAAGTGATTTGATGTGAAGCGGAGCAGGAAATGCATTAGGTGAAATTGCTAGTCAATCGAGTGGTAGTGCGAGCGGGCTTCTTAATCTTGCTAATGAGGGTTACGAAGCACATGAAAAAACCAAAGAAGCAGTGAAACATACTAAGTTTTATACTTCACTTAGCACATCGCAGCAGAGGAATAGATTATGACCCTAATTGTGATGAATGCAATTCCTAGCAATTAAAGTTAAGTTTCGTTTGTAAGAGTTTATGAAAAAGAGAAAAGTGTTGGGGGTTTTATTGAGAGGTCTGCTCGGACTTATCTTTTTCTTCTTAATGCTTTTCTCGGTGTGATTAACTTTTGGTTCAGAAGTTATTTATTTAGTTTTAAAAAAAGAGATGAAAAGGCGGTGAGGAACAAGAAAAAGCGTTTCAATAATAATAGATTTTCTTTTTTTACTTTCCTTTACAGGGCTTTGTTTTTCCGTAATGTTTTTTCCTTCCCTTTACTACCTTAAATTCAAACCCAGAAAATTCCTGATTGACTTTTTGATTTTTATTTTCATTTTGTTTCTTTTTTTGCTCGGATTTTTTTTAGTATTTAAAATTTCTTACAATTATCACCAAGTTTTCAAAAACAGTTAAGTGCTTTAATATTAATAAAAAAAAATGCTTCTAGTGAATGATTGGGCTTTCATAAATAAAAATATACAATAATTTAATAATATATAGCATGACCAACCTCAATAAGAATGAATTAGCCAAAATTGGAGTCCAATTTGGTAATTTAGTCCGTAAATGGAATCCCAAAATGCGCCCTTATATTTATGGCAAAACCAAAAATAAAACTCATATCTTAAATTTACAAAAAATTGCTGATAGTTGTCAAGAAGTAGGTAATTATATAAATTCAATAGTTAAGAAAAATAAGACTATTTTGTTTTTATGTACTAAAAAAACATCCCTGAAGAACAAGACAAAAAACATCCCTGAAGAACAAGACAAAAAACATCCCTTTGAAATAGTTAAAGAACAAGCTATCCGTTGCGGAATGCCTTATATTGTTAACAAATGAAAAGGTGGATTTTTAACCAATTTTGGGGAAATTAAGAAAAAATTAAGGGAATTGCAATCATTAAATACCTTTATCCACAAAGATAGTTTTAAAAGTTTAATTAAAAAAGAGCAAGTAAAATACGAAAAAAGGCGAGCCGAATTACAAAGTATTTACGAAGGGGTGGTTAATTTAAGAGATAAACCGGACGTCTTGTTTATTATTGGGCTTAATAAGGAAAAAACGGCTTGTCTGGAAGCCAAAAAAGCTAAAATTCCTGTTATTGCGGTCTGTAATAACAATTGTAATCCTAGATTAATAGATTATGTTATTCCGGGCAACGACGAAAGTACTAAATCCATTGATTTCTTCGCTAGTTTAGTGGCGGATGCTGTCATCCAGGCCAAAGGGGAGGCAAAATCAGTAGCCGAAAATACGGCAGTAAACGAAAAATTGGAGTAAAAACAAGCATGTCTCAACCTCGTTTTTTTACTGGCATTCAAGCAAGTGGCGCTCTTACTTTAGGAAATTATTTAGGATTAATCCGTAATATTTTAGAAATACAAGAGGAATATGAGGTCATTATCATGATCTGTGATTTACATTCCTTAACCATTCCCAAACCCAACTTTAATTATCGGGAAATCGGCCACGAAATCGCTTCTCTATTATACGCTTGTGGTCTAAAAGAGGAAAATTGTAAAATATTCATACAATCGGAAATAAAAGAGCATGTCGAACTGGCTTATTTACTTTCTCCGCATATTACTGTTAGTGCTTTATCTAATATGATTCAATATAAGGAGAAAAAAAGAGAGCAAGAATCTGGTAATTTGGCTTTGCTGACTTATCCAGTTTTAATGGCGGCGGATATTTTTCTCTACGATGCAGACTTGGTTATTGTCGGTCAAGACCAGACCCAGCACCTCGAATTAACCACCAATATCGCCCAGAAATTCAATAATTTTTACGGCCAAAAACTGCTAAAAATTCCGCAATTTACTATACCTCATTTGGGGGCTAAAATAATGGACTTAAAAAACCCGCAAAAAAAAATGTCAAAAAGTGAAAATGATTTTCTGGCCTTATTAGACAACCCGCAAGTCGTTGCCAAAAAAATTAAAGAAGCGGAAACTGATAGTGAAAATAGAATCTATTATGACCCGACTAAAAAAGCTGGTATTTCCAACCTCTTAACCATTTATGCTTTGTTAAGCAAGCAAGAAATAAAAGAAGCCGAAAAAGAATTACAAAATCTCAACTATCACCAATTTAAACTCAAACTTATTGATTTGCTTAATGAAAACTTGGGAAAAATCCACAAAAAATATATTGATTATCAACCCAGAATTAAAGAAATATTGAAAAAAAATACTGAATACTTAAAAATTTTAGCCACCCAAAAACTGAACTTAATCAAAAAAGAAATAAAATTTAATTAATAATGTTATGGTCGAAAAATGTTCGAAATATAAAGATAGTAGTAAATTTAGTCGTAATAAACCTTGTGAAAAAGATGTTTTTGAAAATGATGATTATGGTCGTAAGTGAAAGTTTTGTCAAGAGCATGGTTGTGTGATATGCTTGGAAATAACGAGAAGCCATGGCATAAAAAAAGAACCAATGCACGATGGTTTTTGAAAATGTAATACTAAAGAATGTAATGAAGATTATAAGAGAATAAAAATTAAAAATACTGAAGCAAATACCAAATTATTTAATGCAGTTGAAAAAATTAAACGTTCTCTAGCCAACGTTAGTCCACG